GCAATAAATGTCAGTCACTACTGTTCCATAAATTGGGGTACAATGCTGAAAAACAAAATCACTCAGTAATGACTTGGATTCTTATTACTTCCTCTGTAATCAACCTCAGACCGTTTTTTGACATTCAGTGGATTACGTGAGAATATAAAATGCTATATTGAAGTGCTTAAGAATCTGATATCTTCTCAGCTACAGAAATATGCTGAGATGCTCTGTTAAAGAACTTCCATGTCATGTAGTGTTCTAAGAACAAAACAGACCTGACAAGTTACAACAGTTATTGATCAGGTTGCCGTGTCACCTGAAGACTGACATGTGCCTCATAAATAAAGACAGGGATAAGAACATACTTGTGAGTTCCAGGAGATAAGGAAACATGCTTCCCATTTCTGTCCTCGTCCACCAGGGGGAGCAGTTTCCTAATACAAACACACTTCCTGTGTGAAATGCAGGCTTCCCTTTATCTAAACCTTCACTGTGACTTCAACATTTCTTCAGGGTAGTTGTCAGTCACGTTATTCAGGCGACACTGTAGAGATGAACTCCTCTCCAGTCTTAGTGACTATGGTACTCTTAATGCTTGGTAAGTAAAATGCCTCTAACAATGTGTATTGTTTCTTCTGCTTCATCAGGAAAAATTTTAACCATAATTTTATCTGAGAGCTTTATGCCCAAGGGACATGAACTGTTGTATTCTTGCCCAGGACGAACCCGTGGAGACTCAGTGATGCAGACGGAAGGCCCAGTGGCCCTTTCAGAATCATCTGCCCTGACTATCAACTGCAATTATTCAGCTGCGGGATACCCCACTCTTTTCTGGTACGTCCAGTACCCCGGAGAAGGTCCACAGCTCCTCCTGAAAGCCTCAAGGGACAAGGATAAGGTACTCAAGAAAGGTTTTGAAGCCACATACCACAGAGAACAAACTTCCTTCCACTTGGAGAAAGCCTCAGTCCAAGAGTCAGACTCGGCCGTGTACTACTGTGCTCTGAGTGACACAGTGACAGGAGCTGGGAGGGGGAGCTGAGCACAAACTCTGAGCAGCAGCCAGGCTGGGTGCTGAGTGTCTCTGACTGTTTGATCGTCTCTGGTTCCAGCACAGTCTGTGGTGGTTTGTCCCTCTGTCTCCAGGTGACACAAAGATCACACCAATGGCTAAAGCATAAGAAGAGGAAGTAACCTCTCCATTACCCAACTTGTCATAAGTGAAATTGGATACTAGATGACACCAGTGGTTCTTCATCCACGACCAAAGTAGTTTCAAGTGAAAGCCACATAAACATGAAGTGGTCCCTTGCTCACCCTTGCAGTCGAAGTCCAGCCCGTCTCCAGGTTGTTCCGGGCCACCCTGGTGGTACTGCTGTGTCTTATTATACTTCTGTAGAGCCAAAGTGTGCCAGAGGCGGTGGCATCTGTGTCATGTAATGGGAGGAGAAGTGAGAGGAGAGCTACAGCCTTCAAAAACCGTGGTCCCTAATAGAGAAAGAAGGGACGAGAAGAAAGGAGAAGGAAAAGAACTTCACAGTAACTGAGCTATAAAAGGAGAGGAAAGGGACATTTATCTTGGTTTATTACCTAGGAAATCAGAAGCTAGGCCCAGAATAAAATTGAAAAAGGTGCTTTGAGGGCATTCAGGGAGTGGAGGTTGAAAATAGGACAGAAATATATAAGCAGCAGGCTCCTCTACCAGTGTCTGTAGGACAAGCGATGATCACTTCTTGACTCCACCCAGCATTAGTCACTGATGAACTGAGCAACTGCACAAATAAAGTAAGAAAGCCAAAATAACTAAAAATTAAAAATATAATAATTAGCTATTCACTTCAGGGAAATAAATAACATTCTAGAAAGTAGCATACTCATAGTAGTCTATATAATTCAACCAAATTTTCTTCTAGATAAGTTTTACCACCAATAGCGGTGATTAATCAGAGCATCTATTTTCCCAAACCTTGTGTATTACTAAGGTTTTGGACTTTTGCTTATCAGCAAGGCTTTTAAAATTATT